GTGGCAATTCCTCAAGGACCTAGAAATAGAAATACCATTCGACTCAGCAATCCCATTACTGGATATGTACCTAAACAATTATAAATCGTTCTATTATAAAGACACATGCACATTTATATTCATCGCGGTGCTGTTTACAATAGTGAATACTTGGAACCAATCCAAACATCCATCAACAATAGACTGGACAAAGAAAATGCGGCCCATATACACCATGGAATACTATGCAGCCATAAAAATTGATGAGTTTGTGTCCTTCATAGGGACATGGATGAGTTTGGAAATCATCATTCTCAGCAAACTGACACAAGAACAGAAAATCAAACACCACATGTTCCATAGGCGTGTGTTGAACAATGAGAACACATGTCGACAGGGAAGGGAATATCACACACTGTGGTCAGTTGGGGGAGCTAAGGGAGGGACAGTGGGGGTGGGGAAGATGGGGAGGGATAACGTAGGGAGAAATACCAGTTATAGGTGATTGGGGAGATGAAGGCAAGCAAACCACCTCGCCATGTATGTACCTATGCAACAATCCTTCATGATCTGCACATGTACCCCAGAAATTAAAGTACAATTAAAAAATAAAAATAAAAAAGCTTTTCTTTTTTGAAAAGGGAATGCTTAATGTCAAGCTACATGCAATTAAATCTCTATTAAGTCTCCATAAATATCTCCCCAAATTGAACTATTTTTCTACAAAAGCAGGTTCTAAATTTCATAGGGAAATAAAAACTAACCAAATACCCTTTAATAATTTGGAATAATAACCATGTAAAAAATGCTGTGATTAATGATATATGGTATTGGCAAAAGAATAAACAATAAGAACAATGAAAGAGATAGTCCATATTTTGATCATTATTGTATCAACTATACACAGAATACTGCCTGGCAAGTATCACATGATCAATAAATACTTGTTGATTGAATAAATGAAAGATACTGTAATTATCTTGATAGTAATATGTCATTTGTATCAGTGGGTAAGGAATGACTCTTCAGTATATTCAGAATACCCCAGATCTTATCATTATAACCATCCTACTGAAGTATTCCACAGTGCCTGGTGGTGTGTGTGCTTTGCTGCATCAAGCACTAAGCCTAATTTTTAACACTACAGATATGTTCTAGGTATTCTTTGTTGAAAGGGCATTGACACGTGTATTTTCATAAATATCCAACATTTTACACAAATGAAAGCTCTGTTTTGTGTATCCACTCACCCATACATGTGTGGATGCATGTACCTTATTTGTACCTGTGTTTGAATATATTATGATGGGTTATATTTGAACAAGTGTTCCACAGCATAGAGAGGAATACATTTTACAAAAAGTAAGACTGTCAGCCTTAAAATTAGCAAAAAATATATAAGAAAAAAAGTACTGATATTGTTTTAGACTCTTGGCATGGAGAAGGTCTTGATAATCAATACATAAAACTCAATAGTCCTAAGGAAACAGGAATATTACAAATTACTCAAATTGATAGGCACTTTTAACAGACCTATTATAGACGGCAAAGACATTATAAACATAAAGAAAAAAGAAAAGACAACTGGATATCATATAAAATCTTTTTCTATTATCTAATGGGAAGAGGGAAAGCAATCACTCCTGCTATGCATTTCTCACAATGTTATCTCTTCCCAACCTCCCCACCCCCCCCTATCCTTCCCCTACCCCCCCCCCCCCCCCCGCCCCCCTCTGCGATGCTCCCTTCCTTGTGTCCATGTGTTCTCATTGTCCAACAGCCACCTATGAGTGAGAACACATGGTGTTTGGTTTTCTGTTCTTGTGTCAGTTTGCTGAGAATGATGGTTTCCAGGTTCATCCATGCCCCTGCAAAGTGCATGAACTCATCGTTTTTTATGGCTGCATAGTCTCCCACAATGGTTGTACTAATTGACACTCACACCGATAGTGTAAAGGTGTTCCTATTTCTCCACATCCTCTCCAGCATCTCTTGTCTCCTGATTTTTT